GAAAGTACAAAAAAAAATGAAAATTTCATCAGTGCGTGATTTAAGTAAAGTTCCACTTCAAAAAGAGCAAAACGGACCAATTTCTGGAGCCAAAAGTCTCTGTTTGTGTGCTATATGATACCAAATTTTGTGAGAATGATGTTTTTATCCCTTCTGAACGTTTGAAATCCTTTTTTGCACTTCTGAATAAATTTTCAAAATTCATGAAAAATGTGTGGTAGGACTCTAAGGCGATTTTTTTCAAAAAAAATTGTTTTTTGAAATCATTCGAAAATCATTGCAGATCATAGAAAATGTTCAAAAAAGTGTTTCCCATTTGCCAAACCTTTCGAAAACGGCTTTTTAAGTTTGAAAAAATAAGAAAAATAAAAATAAAAATAAAAGAACGAGGACCCGAACCTACTTGTGTGCATTCGTGGTCCTCCCTGCTAGCCACTAGGCTACCGAGATGTGTTTTACTCTTGCACGCAACGCAGTGAAGAAAGGGGAGGAGAAGAGAGGCGATGAGACTGGTGGAAATGCTATAATTTCAGATCGATTTTTCTCGATTTTCAGCGATTTTTGCAGGTAGAGACTATTATTACGTAAAAGCCCATACTCGATTCTATAAATGAGCCATTTTAGAGAAAATTCTGAAGAGCTTTCTGAACGACATTCCCTTGTTAGGCCTGCCGAGACTAAAATTTACATAATAGATCAAATGTGACCAACATTTGCGCGGGATGAGTTAGCGTCTGCATGTAGGCACCGATCAATACCCGTTCTCCGTGATACGCACAATGGTGTGGGCCAGTCTGAAAGGAGAGTTATTTGTGATCCCTTGCTGCGTGTGTGCCTCTCCCTCTCCATCTTTTTTTTTTATCTCACTGACAACTTTCTTACTTTAGATGTTATATTCATTTTTGACTGTTTCATCACCTCTATCATTTACGATTCTTTCACTCTCCAAATAGTAGATTTCTTTTCAATATATGCGAATAATCATTTTTTACCGATGTCAAATCTCCATAGAACCAATGAAAATCCTTCGGAGAACCCCTTGAAAGAGAACCAGAATCCTGAAGAATCCGCGACCACTAAAATCAAGAATTCTAGAAGAGTGAGTTTTTTGACTGAGTTTTTGTTCTCAAAAAACCATTCTTCAGATTCGAAGAAATGAAACTGATTGGATAGAAATTCAACAAAAAGTTTCGGATCATTTCGAAAAGGAACAGTTTATATTGAAACAATTCGCGGACAAGTTGGCAGACCACTTCGGAATAACACAAACGCATGTCAATTTTAGTTGTTTTTTTTCATGCCAGAATTTCCTTGTTTTTTCACATTCTGAGCTTATTCTTTCAAAAAAGAAAAGCCGTTCTGGATGCGTATTTGGCGGGCGAAATTTCGTTTGAAAATTTACCTTGTCAGATGAAGATTCTGGAAGCGGATTATAGAAAATGCCCTCATCTGACGTCATACAATCAAGTTGAGGGGTTGGGCAAAGCGGCAGAAATGAATGAGAAAATGGTGAGTTAATAAAAGAAAATTGGAAGGGTTGGAAAGTGTCAATTTCAGATCTTTGACTATTTCAAGATGAGAAGAACGATGGATAAGAATATGAAGTTAAGAGATGCTTCGGAAGATCCTTCAGGAGTTGTTCAGTCGCCAGAACTCAAGGATCCAGCTCCACCAGTGCCATCTCAAGTTCCATCTCCTTATTTTGGTGTTCGTCTAGTCACTCAGCAAGAACTCAAAAATCCAGCGCTATCATTACCAGCTACCAAAGTGATTCACTGCCAACAGACTCATGGATCTCAAAACTCTAAAGATGTGGCTCCAAAGAATGAGGAAAATGAATTTCAAGATAATCAGACGATTTTTCCACGTGAAGCATACTTCCTGTCTCCACATAATTGGCAAAAACTACTCATACAACATCAGGAAGCTTGTGCGGCCTTCCATGCTCACGTTGCTCAGAAACAATCTGTGAATGCTCCAGTTGATTACCCCCGGCATGCTTCAAAACCACCTCACCTTCTTTCATCAATCATATCTGAAGAAATGGACTACCCCATCTCTCCAATGACTCCAGCGCCTGAGGATTCAGTCCAAGCGCAAAATGAACAAATAACTTGTAGTGAAAAAGATGTGAGATCTCAAATGCGTCTTCTACAAGACCTCTGTCGTCAAATACGTATGCCAGCCGCACAAGAAGCCCGGAGAGCACATGTCGCTGTCACTCCGAGTATCCAGGTTTCCAACAAGAGAAAATATTCGCCATCTCTAGACGCTCTCACTGATAAGCCAACAGTATCTTCTCTTATTGCTAAGCGGACCAATCATGGATTGTTGGTTGCTCCAGCTACTTGTCTCCCTCACGTTATGCTCAATAAGAATCTTTGCCCATCTTCAGAAGCTGAAGTTAATGAGCTCGTTGCACCTACCCCAGAACAAGAAGCCCAGCGACGTCAAGAACGCATGAATTTGTATAATGGATGGTTCCAGGATACTTACCTTCCTTATAACCATTCGATAAACTATGAGGACTGGACAGTAAGTGTTTTTCTCTATTTTTGGTCTAATTTGTAATTTCTTTTCAGTCTCAACAAGTTCAAGAGTTCGCTATTCAATTTCTGCCATTAGATGCGATATTGACTCTCATGAAAGAGAAGGTGGATGGATCAAACATGGAAATGATTAGATGCGGAGATACTGGACTTTTAGGACAATTGTACGCTGGATCCAATGGACAATTCGTTTTGGAGCATTGGAATTTGATAAAAGATAATATAGAAGTTATCTGGCTGTATAGGAAAGGGAATGAAGAAAAATGAGTTTCGTAGTGCTTAGTAGATTTTTATTTTTATGTTTGCTAGATCTTCCTTTTTTAATTTTTTCCCCGTTTCGGATATTTTGTAAATTTCGTTTTATTGTTTTTTTAACTAATAGTCTCTTAGCTTCTTTGTTCGTCAATGTGTTGGGTTCAACATGTTCCCCCAATTTTCTAATTTCAACATTTTTGAGTTTCCGAATTCACCAAAATTTGTGAAAGTTTTGCATACTATCAATTTTCTTCGCGGAATATTTGATTTCCCAAATTTTTATAAATTTCTAATACTGAAAAATATTTTTATGTTCTGAAATCCGGAGTATGTGAACTCCCGGTTTTCTGAAACTTCACATTTTGGATAACTAAATGTCCTGGTGTATGAAATTTCTGGTCTCCAAAGATTCTGAAATTCGAAATATTCGAATTTTGAAAAACAGTCGGCTTGCGCCCATCCGGGCTGAACCTCGCTAACAGGAGCCGTTATCTTATAGACAGGTTTTGTCTTTTTTACAGGGACTATTTTTTCATGGTCTATTAGGAAATTTCGAATTTCTATATTTCGGTTATTCAGAATTTCCAGAATTCGGAAAGTCAGAAGTAAGGATATCCGGAAATTGGAAAAGTAAGACACTTGGAAGTTCAGAGATTAGTAAATTTTTAAAAATCAGTTGTAGGAAAACATTAGTTTTGAAATCTAGAAAATTGTTTGAATCTGTTTGTCTCAAATATCGAAATTTGGTATATCAGATTTTAAAGAATTGGAAAATTTCGAAATTCGCATACTTACTAAATGCCGGGCTGGCCTGAGACGGCCCTGTCCGCAAAATGTATAGAATTTCGAAAAAGTTTAGAAAATCTAAAATTTGATAACCTGAAAAATTGGAAATTCAGAAATTCAACTTTTCGAAAAACATTCTAGTCGAAAAGTATTGGAACTTTGAAAAATCAGAAATTTAGATTTGAGAATTCGAAAATTTAGAAACTCCGAAGTTTGAAAATTATGATATTAAGTTCGGAAATTTTAAAAATTATTCTGAATTCTGAAAATTCGAGTGATCCAGAAAGGGCGCTGTTATTTTTCCTCGCATTCTCTTTCTTTCCTTTTTTCCTTTTATTCACTTTCTTTTCCACCTTTCAGAATTTTTTCTCCCTTTCAAATCTTTAAAACTCATGCCAAAAGAATATTTCTAGAAAATCATCTTTCTCTAAGAAATAGCGTGGATAAGAAAAAAATTTAGGCGGTTAGACGGGAATGACGTGAATATTTCTTCAATATTTTTCTAAACATTTGCACTGTAGAAATAGAAGAACGTCTCCAGAAGACGTCAGAAACAAAATTTAGAAATATAAAATACTCGGGCATCATCACGCTGCTATATCGGGTCATCTGGGAAAATTTGAGAAATTTTGGTCCATTCTGGACTTCGATAGGGCAGGTGACCCGGGAACACCGGACACACACACATACACACTCACACACAGAATTTGGTGATTGTTAATAGTAAAGATCATATTTTACAAGTTTCCAGCACATATGAAATTTTATAATTCAAAATCCTGTTTTCTAGTTTTTTTATTTGTTTCAGCGTCTGAAATATTTCAGTTTTTTGAGAAATTCTAATTCTACTTTGTAGGTTACAGAGCACATTTGAAAAATTAAAGATTTTATACGGCCTTTTTGAAATAGTGTTTTCTGGAAAAGCTCGTTTTTCGGCGCTCGTTTCATAGACCGTGTAACTCAACCGGTAAGGGCTTGGTATCCAAAATATTCCACTAGCGAGTTGAAATCTTCTAGAGTCTTTTATTAGCAACCGTCTCTAAAGAAGCATGTTTCAAGAAGTCTTTATCATTAGAATAACAAGAAACCAATCAATAATATCGTGGATAAAAGATTCAGATATCACAATACTTCAGTTCATCCAAATTCAATCCAGCCGGATCAGCCCTATCTATAAAACGCACACCATCAAAGTACGAATCAACTGCAGCATGTCCAGCTTTGTATAAATCCACAATTCGTCCGATTTTACACGACGGGACTTTGTAGAGTTGCTGAGCAATGCACTCAAAATATTTGTCTTTGGTTTCGTCTATCAAAGTAGTGTTGTAGAGTTCAGAAGGGTCAAGGTCGTCTGTCGTGCAATTCTCCATGATTTCAGGAACTTGGGCCTAGAATTTCAGTTTTAGAAACCATCAAAAGTTTTACAAAACGGCTAATGCTTCGTCAGGGCTTTCTTTTGAATGTCCGATTCAAACGCCACTACCAGCTACACATTCAAAAATTTTGAAACTTACATTAATGAAACAGTGGAAGGCATCTCCATAAATCTTATCTCCAACATAACCACCTGCATTCAAGGCGAACGTCACAAGTTTAGAAGAATCACATTGCAAATCTTCTCCAATACATTCAGACACATTTTTAGACACTTGGAGCACTTTTCTCATTAATCCAATGTTGTAGACGGACGATTGTTGGAGGTTCAATTCTAGCAAGTTGATGAAGGGCTGGAAAACATTAGCGTGAAATTCAACATAATTTTTTTGGTTAATTCTGGTATAAGGGTCGTGAAACTGTAACAGTTGAAAAGAAAATATCGGTCGCAAATTCAAGAAAGCCTTAAGGAAGAGGAGCTTACCTCATGCGGCTCCACACACTCCAACACCTTTCGATGCTCTTCGAAACATCCGTTCTTTATAGGCATATTTAGAAGGTAGTCCACTATTCTACCGGCAGACGCCGAAGAAATGACCAAAACCAAAAGTAGGGTTAGAAACTTGAACATGACGTTTGGGCTCCATTTCTTGGGATTGGGAGATTGTTTATATAAGCTTTTCGATTCATAACAAATTTATACGAATGTTTAGATATTGACTGTGAATCATTATGCAAAAAAAAAAACGAATTCAAACAAAATTTATCATTTTGTGAAACTAAATGTTCTATTTTTGGAGAAGCAAAGTTTGAGTTGAAACAAACATTTGGGTATCACTGAAGAAACTAAACAATTTAGAATATTAAACTTTCTGTTTCAGATGGTCTATTCAAAGGACGTTTGGTTTTGCAGCAGTCCTATCCATGGTACATTTTGTGTTACAATGAGCTGAGTTGTGCTCCGTGCGGCAAAGCAAACGTCACAAATGGTGAAAAGTGAAAATTTTCAAATTCAATCGTCTGTTTTGAAATTCATTTTCAAAATGAGCTAATAATAAAACTTTCCAACTTCACGAAAATCATAAAACAGAAAAAAAAATCAACTGCTCGCGACGCGGTACCTCTAACGATGGCCCCACAAGTTCAACTGGCTTAAACGCACAAGTTTTGAGATAATTTTTTTCTCATGTAATTGAAATTGGTTCGTATAACACAATTTGCTATTGAAAGCTGTGCTAAACATGCAATTTAGATTTATGTGTCTTTTTTTCACATCCTAACTTTGGCATGGTTTTTCTCAAGTTTCCTTTAATTTTTTTTCAGTTTCAAAATCATCTTATAGTTAGTGAGCTGGAAATTTGATTGGTGTTTTCTTTATTTTCACATCATTATGTTCTATCCTACACCATACGCCATCGGTCGTCAGGTAAGCTTTGCGTCCTTGTAGCTAAGCTGGTTGCAGTGCGGCACCTCTTCAAAATTTTGAGAAAATAGTTTTTCATGTCTACTCACTTTGTAACGTTAATGTTTTTTTTCAATTTCTGCTCAAATAAGCACAGCATTTTTTTCCAAAATTTTTCTGTTCCATAAGCTCTGTTTCATTCCAATAATAGTTGATTTAAAAGCTGGTCTCTCGTTCGTTTTAGAGTAACGTGTCGACACAGAGTCGTATCGACGCAAGTGAAAAATATCTGAAAAATCGTATCGACGCAAGTCGACACAGAGTCGACTTGTGTCGACTTGTGTCGACTCGAGTCGACTCGTGTCGTGTCGACTCGCGTGTCGCGTCGACTCGAGTCGACTCGTGTCGTGTCGACTCGCGTGTCGCGTTGACTCGAGTCGACTCGTGTCGTGTCGACTCGCTTGTCGTGTCGATTCATGTCGATACTGTATCGACTCGTGTCGACACGACACGACACTTCATTTTCAACGTGCTCTTTTGAACAGTAATTTATTTAAGATATTGAACTTTTTTTTTGTTTTATTTAGAAAAAGTTAGAAAATGCGAGAAGAAAATGAAAAATTGAGTTGAATTTAGATTTATTGCAAAACACCAGTATAATAAAATACAAATTTAACCGAAAAATGAACCCGAATTACATTTGATCGAAAAAGTTTAAAAATTAATTATGAATTGTTTGGGCTAGGTGGACTGATGGGAGAGATCGGAGAGGCACTAGGAACGGACGAAGGAGAACTATGGGAGTTGATCAAGGGTTGCGGAGAGGCGCTCAAAACGGGCGGAGAACTAAATGAATTGATTGGAATGGGTGGAGGGACGCTTGGAACGGCCGAAGAAGAACTGGCAGTATTGGCTGGATTGAATGAATTGTTGTTGTTGCCATCATCCTCATCGTCTATGTTCTCTTCGCTGGATTCTTCCGAATCATCATCATCTCGAAGACCTTTTCTGTAAACGTTCAAACTGTTTTCTTTCTTTTGAGAACTCTTCGACTCACTCAAGGTCAGCTAAAGCTGCGCACAATATCATATTATTCAAAGTCGCTGGCAGTAATCGATTGAATCATGGATTGGTACGAGACAACTTCAGACTGAAATATGAATAATAAAATAAATACCCCTGCAGTATCTTACTCTAGTACAATCTGTTGTGGCAACATCGCGTCTCGAGCTGACAAGTCTTGAGAAAAACGATCCGTCATCTTTCACTTTTTTTGGTGCAGGAGGCGCTACGTGGCTGGCTCCATTTGCATCGGTGGTCACAACTCGGATAGAACCTGAAAATCACCAATTCCATACATACTGAGACGAACTTCAAGTATTCCTACCACAATATGTTTCTACTTCGTTTTCGATGTTTGACCATGTGATGTTTTTCAAAATTCCTGGCAAGTACGAAAATCTCGGATCACAATAGAGCGCAAAAGTCGCCAATTCGTTGCCTAACAATGCATCAAATCTGGAAAGTGTACATGTTTGGGTTGTCTATTCGTTTTACTCACCTTGACGCCGTTTCTGATTTCAAAACGCGAACGATTTCTTTCTGATGGGTTGCACCTGAGATAAAATCCAACAATCCTGCATAGATGACTAGAATCTCCGAAAAAAACGTATGGTCTTTTTCTGACATATGAATAGCTTCAATGTATGGTTTCGTGAATTCCAGGAACTCATTCAGTACACTTTTTTCATCAGCAGTTAACAGATATTCTTGAAAATCGTTCAAGGCGCTGATAGTAAGTAGAACATTATGTGATAGAATAATACAAATTTCAATCAGATATAACTGATAAACACCGGAAGATAAGTTTCTACAGCATTACATTTAAATGAATGTGGAAAATTTGAAGTAATAACACATAAAATACCAATATTTGCGAAAAAAATCGATTTGTAGCGAAAAAAAAACAAAAAAAAACAATAAACAGCGAAAACAGTCTCTTTTCCGAGAGTACTACACGAGGGTCCGCGCCCTCGCGTAGTCCTCTCGGAAAAGAGACCGGCGTCGAGTCGACTCGTATCGACACGACACGAGTCGACACAGTATCGACACAGAGT